CTAAACTAGAAATAAAGCATGAAAACTAGCAGACCTGCAGCCTCAGACAGAAAGAAACAAAAGAAAAACAGAAACCACATTACAAAACATGATGCTACTGCTGCTGCTGAGAGAGAGTGAGCCTCCCCTGCACCCTCCCTTAAATACAGGGGCAGGGCCTCGATGATCAGATCCATAACACCTGTGAGAAGAGCAGCAGAGAGTAAAGGGGGAGGGTAGAACAGGAAGGTGGGAGCGCATGACACAGTGGGTCTGCCATAATAAAATAAAAAAACCCTTATTCATTGGTCTCCTTTAGCCAAAGGAGCACTGTGTCTATCCATGGTTTTTAAATACCGAAACATAAATCCAGAATCTAGTGTTCAAAACATCATAACCTATACGTTTAGCACGTATCAACTCACTCACACACCAATTAAGGGGCTTTCATTGAACTTCTAACTCTTGATGAAGTGCTTTAAAAGATGTTTTGCTCACAAGCAACATGATATCTTGTAAATGTAGAATTTGAAAAACATAATTAAAGTAATTCACACTGTTTTACCAAATTGCTAATTAGAATATGTTATACAAACAATCTGAATAGAGGACATGAGAAACAGATGGAGCTGCCATTATTGAATGTCTCATATTATCTAATGTACTTAGTTTTGTTACCAAGTCACAGCCATGTCCCATCTTCTCATGGAAACTATTATTTCTGAGCCAGTGGCCAAGTAACAATAAATTAAAAAAAAACAAGTCTCTGTCATCATCCATTAGTCGTACGGGGAATATTCTCTTTGAAGTCTGTAAAAAGCTGCCATGCTGCCCATTAAATCCTCAATGGCAGTGTCCTCTAAAATAACCAGACCCCAAATCTCTGTGGTCTGCACAACAGAATACAGATGCTGGCAAAGTAAACACCTCATCATATTCAGCAGTGCATGCAGAATTCTTCTGTTTGCCGCTGCTGTTTGAATTCCATTTTGATTCATGAAGGAGGTGCTGAAGGTTAAAATATTATTTGGGCTAAACTGCATTGTGTTTTTTTTTTTTGTGGTCTCCTTCATCTGTTTAATGCAGTGGTTCTACAAACTGCAGCTCCTGCAAATTAAACCTCTATATCATTTGTAGCTTTTTTGATGAGAGGAAATATTATGGTCATAGCAGACAGAAATTGTAAAGGTGGTCACTGGTGTAAAAGGTCATTAAAAGTTTGAATACTAACATCATATTTTGTCATCCACCACCTTAAATCCCCAAGTAACCATGTTCTGCAACTTGATATTAGCTTGGTAAACGAAATGTCGGCGAAATGGTTAAACTTTTTCAATTAAGTACACATCTGACATCAGATGCCTCACCAAAGGTAAGCAGTTCCACCCATCACATCAGAGAGGTTCGTGTGATATAGTAAGTTAAGTAATTCAAGTTTATTTACTTACTCACAGATACAAATTTGCCCAGGGTTGAGTCATTGTTCATCATTAAGGCTGAAAGCGGTGTTGAGATAGCCGAGACCACCCTGTAACACACACACACACACGCACACTTACTCTAATCCAATGCAGGCTGTAATTTAGAATATACATAAACTATATTATTAAATCCTGTGTTTTATGAGTCATGTCCTGATTAAGATTTTTCTGGCCCTGATCCAAATCTTATTATATTGTGCGTCACCTGAAGCCGATTCACATCACATCGGTAATTTATTCTACTTAAATTCTGATTAAAGAGCTCATGTATCTGACTTTAACTCCCACTTATTTTCATTAACAGGAACTGTTTCAAAACATATAACTCTGTTATCCTCTGCCATTGTTCATAGTTACACTTTGTTGGCAAGGCAGAAACGTCAGAGTGGCGGATCTTTGACGAGTACTGACAGCAGAGTGCAGAGACACAGAAACTAACACAAACTTTAATTTAGGCCTGTCATCACGCTAATTACAGTTACAGCTGATATGAGGAACCACCAGCTGCATGTCTGATATATAATTTGGTGACAGTGACGCTCAGCACCAGGTAAAAATGAAAAGCTGCAGCTTTCCCACAAGGCAATGCAAATTCTATTAATATTTGCTAAAGATTATTAACGTCAGAGCCTTAAGTAATCATACACCTCACCCCTTCCACTGATGCCAACGTACATGGCAATGTACACATTTTCACATAGTAATTAACCATCCAACTTTATAATTACAAAGTGCTTTAAACCTTGTTTAAAAGATATTCTGAAAAGCTATATTGATAATCGCAAAGGTTAATGTCACAACAACAAACAAATGAGGACAAAGACACAAACACGGTATAAAATACGTGTTCAGAAATTTTGTTCTGCCCACTTATGTTGGTGGAAAAATTAAAATGGCCCTTGAGATGGGGAAAGGTTTCCCCTGCGTGAAATAATCAGTTAAACCACAAGTTAATATGTCCAGAGCCTCTTTTACTCCCTCAGCTTAGTGCGCTGGTTTCAAACAGTCCTCGCTAAAGTCATTTGTCCACGTATACGCACATGCAAACACGTAGGTACGCTCATTCGAAAAGAGCGCACGTATACGTTCAGTCACGTCCAGGATGAGTCTGAGCCCTTCCTGTCTTTTAAGACGCAGCTCATCAGATAGGATTCTGCCTATAAGGTCCAACCAATAAAAAGCTCAAACATTCTATTAAGTGTAAATCCTCTCCGCTGGTGGAGCTTGTGGAGTCAGATTAGGACTAGACAAACACTGCCAAGCAGTCATGCCCGTACCGGGACTTCTGCCAAAAAGGAGCCCCACAGATACTGATGTGTCGCTGTGAGTGAGTGTGTGTGTGCGCAGGCAGCAAAGAAACCCAATGTGAGCATTAGCAGGCAGGGGGATGAACAAACTAAAGCTCTGATACGTGCCGCTCCGAGTAATGGGAAGGCAGAGTGTCAGTGATCTGAGTGGGATGCAGCTGCAACATAAATCTTTGTTGTGCGCGCATGTGCTTTTTGTGTTTTTTTTTGTATCTATTCCCCTCCTGCAACACAACAAGCATACACTGTACCTTTGGCTTCACATCTGTGTACAGGTGTGCGAACCTGTGAACTTCTGCAACAGCAGAAAACACTGGAACCCATTTCTGTTTTTATCAGCGGGTTGTTAACGCTTAAATATTAATTCCAATTTAGTTTACGGCATTGTGGACTTGTTAGTTTGTTTAGCCGCTTCACTGTGGAGTCTGTTTATTTAGTAATGATAGCTGTGTAGCTCCTCTGTGTACTGGGAGCACAGGCAGCTGCAAGGTTTTAGGCAGAACAGACATAGATTTCTATCAGTGACCCAAGGCTGCTCATTAGAATTCAGCTCACCTCTCTCAAATCTCCCCCTATCTCTCTTCTCCCTCCAACTTCTCTGTTTTCTCTCTCTTGCTGAAAGAGAATGAATCCTTAAAGAAAAAGGGTGAACTGTTGGTCAGCCATCATAACAATCACTGTGTGATGAGCATACACATACACAGCAATTCACACTCCCTGACAAGTGTAAAGAAAAACAAACTCTGCTATACATTGTATATATGTTCAAACACACACACACACACACATATATCTATACTGCGCATGCTCTCTCACAAAAAACAAAACTGTAATATTTGGGATATTAACAAGAAATGAAATGTGATGATGGAGCCACAGCATCAACGTCCAAGCGATGCACACGCTCAACCAATCCCAAGGCCCCAGACACACCTTAAAACTCCGTGCAAAGCCACTCTGCATTTTATGTGCCTACTTGTTTGCAGAGATTAAAAGTGAATAGAGGGCAAACGTTCACCGCTGTGGGACCGGACCCCAAGTCAATGTCAGCTGTTGATCATGATGTTGCTCGCCTTTTCCATGGTGTCAAATAACTAGTTAGAGCCACATTTAGCGGAAAGATTTGCATTTGGACATACATTAGTGACCTAACAGAAACCTAACATTTTTATTTGATCCGATGACTAACATGGAGGTTGCAGGGTTTATGACCTATACTGCAGCTTGCCACCAGGTGGCTTCTTTCTTCGGGCGCAATCATGTCGTCCATCTTTGTATACAGTCTATGGTCATAAAACAAATTGCTGCTGAACCCTACACAAGCAACTACGTGTTATAAAACCTGTGCTAATAGCATATTTAATAATGTTATATCTTTACATACACTCTGACAGAGACACATTCTGATCCATTTACTGCTAATGTTTGGTTAATTCCATTCTTAAGTAGGCAGTTGCTCGTCTGTGTGTGGGTGTGTGTGTGTTTTTTTTGCCCATGTGCGTGTGTGCTTTTGTGCTGATGTTATTGTCCCAGGCTAATTGAGCAATTCCAAAGTGGGAGCTTGCAATGTCTAAGGTCACAGAATGATGTGCTCTCCTGGAGCAGTTAGAAAGCCCCCACCTTCATAATTACTCTGCTTTTATCTGTACAGCTGCTCCAACCACTGGGACAAATGCACGTATACAAGCAGAAAAATGCTGTATACTGAGGCATGTCACTTTCACATATTGCGTGCAAACACCCACATTTGCCTGGATATGAGAATGCATTCCTCCACACCTCCTGAACCCACTCAGCATTCAGTAAAAATACTAGTTCTTTTTATTCCTTCTCTTTTTATTTGGAGTCGAAGGGATCCGTGCACTGAGGATTTGCAAATCTATCTCTGAGAAGACGCATTGAGCCTGTCATAAACTATTGAATTCAATGATACCTCTGAGATGTACAGATGCCTGTTCAGATCTGTCTAAGTCATTGTGCAATTATGTGTGTAGGTAGTCGTGGTTTATCGGTGCCAGCTCCATTTATCTTTAACAATGAGTTTTATATTAAATAAGGCTTTAGAAATGTGCTGGCCCAGTCCTCAGATCCAAAACCTGTCTCTCAGTGGGATTGTTTTGCATGCATACGTATGTGTGTGTGTGTGTTTGTGAGCATGTGCTTGCATGCTTGACTGCACATGTGACTTGAACAAACGCCAACACTGGTGGCCCTGTCTGTTTGTCCCATGCAGACATTCTGTGAGTGTGTACCCAGCTCCTCCCAGCTCAAACATCGCTGGTCAGACTCAGAAACTGCCAGGGAGACCCCGGCCAAGGTAAGGCCCTGTCAACCACAACGTACACATGCACAGACACAGGCAAGTATGCATGAGGGCACACCTCAATGCATACTTTTTTTTCATGACAATTTATGTTTATTTACATTTGGGACTTAATTGCAATTCATGTCATATTGTCAAAAACTAAAAAAATTACATATTGTTTTTCTTTTTTGAATCAAAATACTAAATTTCATATGACAGATTTCCATCAATTCAATTTTAGAGAGGTCATGTATGAGATCAGTGAAGATATAAATATTATGATTTTAACTTTCAAAAAAGAACTCACTTCCCGACAGTCTATTCATCTCTCAGCTGTGATAAGTTCAGACTGTGACATCACCAGTTTGTTTGTGACCTGCTGTCATGCAGCCTCAAGTTATTGGGTAACGAGTCACAACATTTAGTCACGTTAGTATTCATTTAAAACATTTATACATAAAGCTTATACAGAAACTTTGTGGAACTGGACCTTTTTGTTTGCAGTTTGGTAAATAAAGTTAAAATGAAAACAACAAGTTGGCTGTTTAATGGGACTGTCTATGTACTGGATTTCTCCCTTATGTTGTCTAGTGCCAGTGGTCCACTGACCCTATGGTGTTTTCTGTGTCTTTATATGCAAATAGAGACATATAGGTCCTATTTCTCTGTGAATTCAATCAGGTATAGTTTGTTTGAAGTGACTTAATTGAGGCTCAATGGGTTGGAGAGTTTATGAACCCAGTTTCCAAAATTACCGGCCTATTGTCGTTTGCTGAGACATTAAGCTGCTGTGAAGCTCTGCTCTGTTCATTGGAAAATATAGACTCTGGTCATGTCTTCCAGCGTCTCACTCTGGCAGGTGTTTATACTCATTTAGATCTCTGCACAATGTCTGTTCATAATAGTGAAAACTCAGTATAGAGCATACACTGTGAATATAAAAATGGACGACATGACTGCTCATCAAAAGTGGAGTCAAAGTCTATTGATCGCCACCTGGTGGCTGGCTGAAGTATAGGTTATAAATCCAGCGCTTCCATCCTATTGGATGGGATATACACCAAGCTAGATATAACCTAGCTTTGAGCTCCTATCAGGGATGTTGTGGCTTCATTACTGGATGTGGGAGGAAGTCAAGATGTGAGACAGAGCATTGCCTGTGAGTGAACTTGTGATGTGAAATAAAAAAAGGAATGCCAAACTGTACAGTTGTGGTGGGGCACTGCATCGATGTTGTGCCAATGGACTGTCTGCATGAGACCACTGCTCCAGGACTGAGCTCCGTGACCACTCACAACCGAGTTAGTTAATAATGTATATTAACTAATCCCTCCTTTCTGTCGGTACAGGATACAGAAAACACTAAACAGGACACAAACTGGGGGACTGGTTTGTTGAAATATTGTTATGTATGTGAAATTCCTTCACAAGGTCCTTTAAATGTCCTCTTATCTTTATATTCCACCACATTCCTCTCAGTAAAATCAGAGCCTCACCGTGAACTTTTTTTCACTTGCGGGGGAGATTTGTTATAATTGATGACGATTTTCATCACTATCCGCTTCCTTCTGCTGCTTCCGTGTTGGCAGTGCGGAGGATTACTGCACATTACACATTACATTTTGCCACCGAGCAGCAGCGTAGGCTCAACCTCCTTGCGAGGACCCAAACACACAAGAATTAGATGGGATTAAGCCCTGCAGATTCTTTGAACTGTGCCGAGTGATCATGGATGCACCAGGAAAAGGAGCCTGGCAGAATGTGGGAAGAAGATATGCACTGAATACTGATGTGAAAGTGGAATTCAAACTCTAGCTGAATGCATTGGGATTGGTTAAAGCAAACATCTTGGAAATTGTTAAAGTGAGAATCAGGATTCCTACAATTTTTTGTATTCAAAGATGTTTCATGTGCAAGAGTTGGGCAGCATCTTTTTGAATGACTTCCTGTGTGTACATCAGTTTTTGTCCACATATGTGTTTGTGTATATTTGTGTTTAGAAAGGAAAGAGAACTCGGGAGACTCCAGCTGGTTTCCTTCTCACCTAAGGAGTGAACAAAGACTTTTCGTCCAAGACTTGTCTGCCAATGATTTTGCGTGGGAGAGCATCATCATTTCCATACAGAGGAATTCTCTCTCTTTCTTTGCCTCCTTCTTTTTTCTATCACTTCATCATCTGAATACCCTGCTTGTTTTTTCCTTTTTCTTTTAAACAAATCCCATGTTGTGGCATGAGTGGAGACTGGAGAGGATATGAAAGTCTGACACTAATTACTGAATAGGCTCCTGCTTTGAGATTGAGAGACTCATTAAAATAAAACGTGTTAAAAGGCTACTTGCATCCTATTCTCTGTGCTATTACTCTTCTAAAACTCTTGAGTCCAATTGAGAGCTTACCGCTGGGACATGAAGCAGGTTGCTTTTGCATTTTATTTTTTACCGACCAATGAATAGATAAACAAGGCAGCATGAAAAACTCCACTCCTTATTACCATTCTTTTTTCATTCAATTTATTCTGTCAGTCTGACCTCATAAAAGTGGAAGCACAAAATATCGTACCTGGGCCTGTTCCTTCATTCAAATACAATATTAAACCATTCCTGGCAAGCCGATATTGAGAGAAACTTTTATACCAGTACAACAACCAAGAATAATATTATATGTTAGAGGATCAGCTTTAACTGTTTTTAACCATTCACCATCAAAAATAGTTTGAGCGATTATTACTATAAAAAATAAAAAGACCTGGGACATCTGAACAGGTAGTACAGGTACTGTGGTAGTAATGAAGCTAATGACACTGTGGTGCCTGCTTTGTGCTTTGTACCTTAAGTTGTCAGAAACAATAATGGAATTGAAGGTTTAGCATCTGGAGACATCATTTATTCCCATTAACAGTGTATTCTTTAAAAAGTTTCATGGGAAAAGTGTGCTGCTCTTGTCTTAGTATTTCAGTGTGTGTGCAGATGTCTGTCAGCTCTGTGTGTGTCTCACTGTCAGAATAAAGAGGGCCAGCATATATCTTCCCCCATATTAAGAATGCTAACATTCACTTTGCTATGAATTTAGAGCAGTGCAGCTGATGGCTTCCACTGATGTCTTGGCCCGCTGGCGACAGAGCTCAGTCAAACTGTTCTAATGTAACATAGCTGCCATTCTGCAGAGTGAGGCCATTATACACATTATGCAGCGCACACACACACACACACACATCCCCATGCACACATAAATACAGCCTAGCCCAGTCACAATCACTCGGCTGCACCTGCACTCACATACACAGGGGGAAAAAAAGCAAACCCACTAAAACACTGTTTGACATGCAAGGAGAGATTTCATAGTGCAGTCAGGGTCTACATGTTGAGTTAGAGACAAAAAAAAAATTGTGATGTGCAGCAATACTCCCCTGGAGCGCTTTTCTGTGATGATGTATTTGGGTGAGAAAACAGGGAGAAGTGGGAAGGTTTCGACAAAGCAGTGCTCCAGTTTTTTCATGTGCAATATGTGAATGTGCTCGGCTGTCTGTTGCAAGTCTTTGGCACAAAGAGCGGCATTCAAACTGCGTGTGTGTGTTACGTGGTGGAAGTGTATGTGGCAGGAGAGCACTGTCAGTACACTGTATGTGTTTGAGTGTGTGAATGCATGTGTGTGTTTGTGAATGGTTTCCAAACCATTTGGACAAACAGAGCCTAGGGACAGTTTCCAGTGGCAGTGCTTAAGTAGCGGTGTCCAGAAAAATAGCAGCCAGAGTAAAATTGGCTGTCGCAGGAAAACAATAATGCATATATTTAATCAATGTGCTTAGTGGACTTTGTATTTCAGAATTTTCATTTCTATATTAACAAAACATGAAAGTCTGTCCAAAATGTTTTTTCTCTTCAGTCTACATTTAAGAAGTAGTCTACCGAATGCATATATAATTGTATTCACCAAGTCGATGTTAGTGCTGTTTGTCTCATGGGCTACATTTTTAAAAATCACTGCAAAATTACATTTATTATTTTGTGCACACACAAAAAAGCAGAGGCATGCAGCAGTGACTCACCAGGCTCAGCAAAATTTGCTCACTGGCCCCAGGCCCCGTACGTGTCTGACCATGTGGATTATGAATGAAGCCGAGGGGTGTACAGATGGGAATGATGTGAGGGAAAGAAAAGAAGAAAAAAAACAACATCCCATCTCGCATGAACCCCTTTTTTGTGTGCATTTGCGAGGGCTACAATTGAGGCCCATGTGAGAAGAAATCATCAGATCCCAGATAAGACACCACGTTTTCTGTCAACAAAACCATGTTGGCGTCTTCCCTCCACACTTGTTGTCAGAAACCATATTTCAGCCCCAACATCATCATTTGGGAACTTGGAACTTCTATTTTTATGTGTTCTTCCCAAAGACTATGGGGCAAACCCACAGCGGATTTCCTGCACAACGCAATCGATTTTCCTCGTATTAAAGGAGCCATAAAGCTTTCTCGTAAAGCAGACCATTAGCTGTCTATTAGTGTGCTTGGCTGTGCTTGTGCAGCCAATTTACATATTAATGAGCTCGCTCTTGCTCACACTTCCGCATACAAACAGATAACAAGCACACAGTGACACGCACACCGGCCCACACATTCTCATAGAACATCCTCCGGTGTGGAAAAACATCAGAAAGACATCAGTTGCTGATTAATGTGGAGGAAGATACATGTGGGGGTGGGCTATATAGGCATTGCCAATCATGCATAGGTGGGACATATTACTCTCTTCTCTCTTGGACCTGAGTGGGAAAATAGCGCAGATCATAAAGGGCCTTCATATAGGCCTTTTATAGTCAAGTTAATGGAGACCTTGTTACTGGTAGAGGTCTGCGGCTTTCCTCGAAGACGATTCTCCTCTTAGTCCATTCATTCACATCCTATCGGCTTTGTGAGACACTTTAGTTTTAATTTGTCTTCCTGGCTACTGCTTATTTAAGGTTCTTTATTGTTTTCCTTCCTGGCTATGAAATGTGAAGACAGAACCGTGGTGCCTGGGCTGTATGTTTACCAGAAGTGCCTCAGGTCAGCATCCTCCATCAATCTCACCACCACTACCGCCACTCGACTGGCGTGCACTATGTTCGGACAGAATTTGCCTTTAGTTTAAAGAATTTAGAAATTTCGAGAGGTCTTGCGGGCATTAACTCTCCAGTGCTGCATAAATCATTCAAAACTACATTTGGACAGATGGGAATATGGTTATATCACTGAACACTGAACATTTGGCTTTCAAAATATCTCCAGTGATGAATGGAAGTCATTTCTTTTTTTAATAAGGCAGGTGTTATGTTGTGTTTTTTTACTGTTTCCGCATTTATGAATTTATCATCTCCTTTTTTTCTCTTCTTTCCTTCCCTGCTTCCCTCTCTCCTACCCACCTACAGAGGATGAGCTGCAGCTACCTGCTCTGTACCATCCTCCTCTTTGTGGCTGTATTGCTCGCTGTCACTGTGACTGGCACCATCCTCTTCATGAATCACTACCAGGCCCCACCCATGTCCGATGGCCTACCCCACATCTCCACCAATCAGGATGAAGCGAACGCCCTGGTCACCGTCGAGAGAGGCGACGGCTCTCGCATCAACATCTTCATCGACCCTAACTGTCCCGACTATAACAGTAACTTTTTGCGCCTGGAGGGTGTGCAGACGTCGCTGCTCCACTCGCTGACCGACCACGACTCCGACCTGAAGTCGGTGAAAGGCCAAGATCGGGCTCTGCTTGTCAGTCTGGCTGAGGAGGTGGCCAAGCTGTCAGCGCACGCGGGGCAACTGAAAATGGACTACGAATCCCTACGCAGGGGGCAAGGCAGCCTGGGTCAGGACCTGAACACGCTGCAGACTGAGCAGGGACGCCTCATACAGGTAAAATACACACACACACACACACACACACACACACACAAACCTGTTTATTGAGACACAATCTAACAACACAATACATAATGGTAATACAAATCCAGGATCATCTGTCCTCACAGTTTATTAAAGTTTGTAAAGTTTATTAGAACCCAACCATTGTATCAGTTGCCAGATAAAAAAAAACAACTGATACGAGCTGTTCACAGAATTATTGCTATCACTTTTGTCGATATGGGCCAATATTAAACATTTTGCAGAGAACATGTGCATTCATGTTTACTTTAACATTCCAGTCAAATTCTATATATTTGGTTGTAGTTATGTTTTGTTTTTATTCACAATTTTAGTATAAAAATTCAAGCGTCAAATACATTTCTTTTTAACTATAGTTCAATTATACATCTTTAGAATCATTGCCAAATTTATGTTTTATTTATAGGCCAATATATTGGTATTTGGAATGGAATTTTTTATTTTACTCTATAATAATGTTATCGTTATCAACCCCCAAAAATCATTTACGGTCAGGCTCTATCCACCAGTACTGATGAAATTAATCTTATTTTGTAGCAAAATGTGGCTTCATGTCCAACTGCAGATTCAAAGAAATTACAGCTGATAAATATGAGACAAAAAAAGATTAAAGATTAAAATCATAGTACAGACACAACGCTGAAAGCAAAAATGGATAAAATAAAAGTCTCTTGACATTGATTTTGAACAGGATTAAAAAAATTGGCATTTCTGTGATTCTAGTGTGGTAACATATTTCTATCTCTGGTCCATTGTAACACGTTGTTTTCTTTATGGCTAAAATCATTGGATCTGTGATTGGCAACACTCACTATTGAATTCCAGACAGACTGACTGTACAGTGCCTGAGGCCTGGATTGTAAAACACCTATCAATATGTATTGATTGTAAATCCACCTTAAGACGCCTGGTGGCTCATCAGACTTGAAAGTTTTCTCTAGGTTTGTGTTCCTGTCTGCACAATCAAAACACCATCATTCACTAATCCAGTTTCAACTCCACCATCTTCATTTCTCTTCGCACTGCCTACTATCACGAAGGGCAAGATTAGAGTGCAACAGGCCATAACTCATGCAGTGTGGTGTTTGAAGATGAGGTCACTGGGGAAAAAATCATGAAGAAACAGAACAAGTTCCTCACTAACGCAGTAAGATTACATAATGTTTCCCCAGAGCAATTAGACAGACTCCAGATGAAAACATAATTAGTCCTCCTTTAGCTTCACACTGTTCACATTGATTTATTGACGATACATTTCCTAAATGTGCGTGGGAAATCTTACCGCTACATGCCCTTATTTTTGGCCCATCAGGCTCAGTCTCTCTATTCTGCAGCTGCCAGCCATACAGCTTTCTTTCAGCCAGGCGTCTTTAGCTCAGGGTTGAACATTGTTTAGAAATCGCTCAGAAACTCACTGCTCTGTCCGTCTCCATGGGCTAAAAAAAAAACATGGGTGCTGATTGTTAGCACAATGGAAGCAGAACGAGGACTGCACTGCTGTTAATGGGGTGTAGGTGGCACAGTGCAGTGGGCACAGAGGCTAAGTGGAGGTAGCGCTGGCAGCCCAGAAATTCTGGGTGATTGATTTTGTCTTTGGAGGCGAGGCATGTGGTGTGCACATCCGCTGTTTCTGCCTGACACCATGGTGTGAGTGTGTGATCTATGGACCACCTGTGGCCAGGACTTCTGATTTATACAATGACATAGAGCTGACTGTGCCGGTGTTAGTAATAGCTCTGTGTGAACCACAGCCCCTTGAAGAACAGTTGCACGCTGCCACGTACACAGAAACCCTTCCACGAGCCCTGGAAGTGTAGAGCAGCAGAATCTGATTGCAAAGAGTTTAGGTACAATCAGTTCTGATTTTTCAAAGATATGCATATTCAGTTCTTCATAGCTCAAAGCCTAAAATAGAAAGGTAAATGAAAGCACACCTTTTTGCATTCAAACAAATCACGCTGATGGGAGAAACCAGGAACAAAGTGGAATATAACTACGGTATACATATAGCTCAGGTTTTCAAAGTGGCAGTCAAGGAGAGGTGTATTGCTAGCTCCAAATCTAAACTCTTATATAATACTGTTATTCTTGATTTTCATTTGAAACCCAAAGTACAGCGGACCTGATAGATCATCCACAATGTTGTTTTTTGGCCGGATTTGCAATTCTCTACAAAATACAGAACAATTCAAGCATTTTAAAATAGGACCATATGAAGTTGGCCTGTTTTTTGACACTGTCAAATCATTTTCATGTTACTATACTCTCGACTGTTTATTATTTTATTTAATTATCATTGGTCTAATGTGTCTGAGCACTTTTGGTTCTTTGCCCCACCTTTACCTGAACATTAGAGGCCCAAGAACTGAACCCTGAGGCACTTAGATTCAAGAACAATAACGACGGCAATGTATCCCTTGATTTCTAGATGATACCTGACACACTATTATTTTTCCAGTCGTAGAATTCAATGTTAATCAGTCCCTTCATTAGTTTAGCCTATAAATCAGTATTAACATTTAAAAGGATTTGAGCTTTCTAAACGGATTCCAATAAATGAATTACCCCCATTAATCACCAATTCACCTCTCAGTAACAATCACCGGCAAAGTGACCATTGAGATCAGTCACCACATTTTAAAAAGCAATAACTAACTGACATTTGCTTTATCTCAGTGACTTAGAGTAGTTGTATGTCAAAGCATTTGCTGTTTGCTTTGCCTCCTGTTGACAGGAACAGATCTGTGTCTTGTGTTTACATAAAGAAGCGCAGGATCACGCTTAAGGTCAATTCTTCTCAGTACTGCAATATGAATCTTTAAATCCTACCCTGTGTCTTTTAAAGGTCTTTTCAATGACCCCTAGGTTTCCAGATCCGATCACCTTTCTCATGATTACAAGTTTAACTATTTCTTATTCGCGTATTTTTCATATGAAGGTTTAACTGTCATCTTGTTGTTGCTCCAACCAGCACAGCCAACCCTGTGGGGAAGAGCACAGAGGTCTATGACCTGCACAGCTTTAAAAAATGGAGAGGTCCAACTGTCATTATACGTCTCTCACAATTACAACTGACTTGACATTCAGCTAAAAGGCTGCAAGAAGGTAAAAGTCTTCCAGGAAGTACATGACTTAATGATTTCCCTGAACCATGGGTTGTAGTTAAACTGAATTATGTGCCTGTGGAATATCAATGCTTTGAAACAGCACCCACAGTCACTGCCATGGATTTCAGGGCAAAGCTCTGCTACTGTAGAGGAACAAACCTTATCGCCTCAAGATGTTTATTCTTTTCAGCCCTTTGAGTACTTAAGAAAGTAAAATTCACTGCTTGTTGCAGCATTTTAACCAGGGATGTGATGCTTGCAACTTCAAAAGCAGTAAAAGTAGATAAAAGTCACAAACAATATGGAAATGGATTTCAATTAGGCAAAGTGGTAGTTATAAGAATTAGCTTGCCAATTCAAAGGAATTAAGAATATCGTTTTGAAGGATCAAAAATATCGTAATTATAATACAAAGGAAATTAAGAACAACAAAATGGACAAATCTTCTTTTACAAAATAACAGAATATAATCACAGTAAGCTATTTNCACACACACACACACACTGCTTGTCTATTAGAGTGGCACTCATTCCAGTCTGTCTATTGCTGGTGCTACTCAGACACAGACAAAGCCACTTCAGTAGACCAGCACAATAGCACATGATAAGCTTTTATCACACTATCATCTCTTACAGAGATCTCCAGCATCTGTCTCCCATCTGCATATTCTATAATATTCTTACATTCAAATGTACACATAAGAGGGTAGACATCTATGAGATTACATTGGTTTTTGAAGTCAGGTGTACTATTGTTGGCATTTGACATCTTTAGTTTATGTAGAATTTGAATGTGCTCAATGACTCTGTATGAATTTCCTCATTCAGTCCACAAACGTGTAGGTTAAATTATTTTTGTGCCAAAGGTTTTTGTCTCTGTTTGTGTTATGCACATGATAAACTGACAAGCTAACCACAATGTATTGCCAATCCAATGTGTGCTGACTGGACAGTGATGATAATAATAACTTTATTTACGTGGCACATCTCAAAACAAAGTTGCAAAGTGCTCATTAAAATATGAGATGAGAAATAAAATAAATTCATGTTGTTCTTGTTAAATATAAAAAAAAATGTTGATCTGAACTGACAATAAATTGAGTGGGGAAAAAAATACAGACCATGTTGAAGCATGTGTGAGGGACTGTTGCTGAAGTCAGACCAGATCAGTAAGTGGTTCATTCCACCAATTTATTTCATTAATGATGATTTAATCTCACAGCTGGACTCTTAGCCCCCCCACTAAACAACACACGGGCAAAATCAAAGAGCCCGATCAAAGATCAGAGACTCTGTGGATCAGATTTGCTATGAAAACATTCCCCTTAATGCGTGAAGGTTCTGTCCATCATCAGGGTAATCTTTTATTCATTGTGTCTGTGCTTCAGAGAACTCCCGTATGTCTCGGATCTCCAAGACAGTTTAATCAGAGGGAAACAGTAACTGAGGCGGGGGTTCACTGCACAATCCTGTGCTGGTTTCTTACCCCAAGTCAAGTCAAGTGTTTACTGGTAGCTGCTGTAAGTGCAGTTGGACTTTAATAATCTAACACGCACATCTTTTAGGATGAGAAGAAAGTATGTTGATAGAAAATATATGACACCTTGTTGTCCTTTTGATCCAGGATGGTATTTTTAGTTCACCCTCGGAATTCAGAATGAGCAGTTTTCTTTGAAAAAAAGAAGCTTATTGGCTTCAGAGAAACAACACACAGGGAGAACAATTAGCCATCCAGATCCCGTTGAAGAAGAGGTGGAGGGGATGAAGATGAGCTTCTCCACCACAGCTACTGAGAGATGAATAAGATGCTGTGAAGTTCAGGATGAGAATACATAGATCTGATATCTGCATTGTAAAGTGCAGCACGGTGAGAGAGGATGAGGTTAAGAGTCGATACGTTCGGCTCGACTGGATCTTTCCGTTCTTTGTCTAGCACTGTTGCCTCACAGCGAGAAGGGTTTCGGTTTGAATCGCAGTTCAGCTGGGTTCTTTCTGTCTGCGTGGGATTTCCCCAGGCAAGCCAGCTTCTGTCCACAGTCTAAAGACATGCAGACTTTAAATTGTCAGTTGGTGTAAATGTGCATACGCTGGCGGGATTGGCTGCAGCCCCCTTTGGAAACATGATGTTTCTACAGCATCATATTCATTAATGAATATTTCAGGCTTGCAGGATGTACAACAAATAATGATTATAGTAATCTCCCATTTTTTTCATAGTCTTGATGGATTTATTAATTGTGTAATAAGCCAAACAATAAAGAGTTGTCCCAGAGTTTAATGTTATATAATCAATTTGATTTGTCTTTTCAGGGCAAAACCCAAGATATTTAGTTTACAATTATATAAAATGCAGAAGGACCCAAAATCCTCACACTGGAGAAATTGGTTCAATAGAACAAATGACTAAAAAAACATATGAAAACAGTTAGTGGATTAATTTCCATGATTAACTGACTAATTCTTCCTCTAATTGTTTCTGAGCTGTAGTTTGATTCCTCGGAGTCAAACTGGATAAGATTTACAACATTCAGTAAAAATATCAAAAATCAGGGAATTAATATTTAGCAGAAACATTCATATTTTTCCATTATAGCACATGTCCTGTCAATGCAGAGCTTTGACAGAGGTCCAGGGGAAGTGCAGTGGATTGAAGTTTTTCTCATTACATTTCAAACCTCTTGGCTACTTGGATTTATAATACAAGGCCACGGAATTGTACAAATGGGCTTGAGGCTTTAAATTATTTTCAACTTGCGAGGGCTCCGCCAGTCAAGAGGAAAGAGAGGAGCACTGTGACTTGATGGCTCCTCTCACTTCTCCCATTAGCTCCTACAGGCTCCAGTTGACTGGACAGCATTCGTCTCAGAGGTGAAGATGTTCTGTTTGGCAGATGGAGACCAAATTACTTTTTTTATTTTTTATTTTTTTTATCTCAACTTGCCGGTTTCTGCCTCGCGACTCCTCGCTGTTGTGTGATTTCAGCCACACAGGGATAAGTGTTTACTTCATCTGATTCAGACGGAAAAAAAAGGCTAACCTTGTCGTGTGCTTCAGCGAAAAATATTTCAGCCGTCTGTAATGCAGTTAAGTTTAGACCCACAACATCAAAATAAACTCCTTTTAAACTAGACTGAAGAAAAAAAAGAAAAAGCAGTGCAGATGCAGTGCACATTAGTGTGCGGATCATGTTGAGCTCGAACAGGGATCTCTTGTTAAAAAATGAGCCTGCAGCAGATCTGTTAAAAACACCTAAATTTGCCTGGATTTTAAAGCCTGACTCGTAAAAAACGAAGCCCCTTGTGTTCCGCGCTGTGGTTTAACTTGATTTTGTGAGCCACCGTAAAGTCTGCCTAACGAGAGCTAATTACACCGCGATCCTAATTGATGTGTCAGTCAAGGCTTAGCATTAAGACTGCAGACACTCCTCTGCTATTGTCTCTTCCTTCTCACACACACAAACACACACGCCGACAAACATAGTGTTTGCTTACCAAATAAATTATACCTCTGGAAATAAATTTGAATGCAGGGAAGTACACACAACACTTAGGCAGTTTAATAATAGCAAAACCTGCGAGAAAACAGTGGAAAAGTTTGCCTAACCCCTCCATGAACACACACACATGCACACACACAGACATGCACACAAGTTCCTGCAAAACAATGATACATTCAGAGAACAGAAAACCCAGTTTTCTTTGCTTCGCTGCTGTGCACAATGGGTCATTTCTCTTGTGTGTGTGCTGTACACATGTGTTTTTTCTTTGTACTTTAATGTGGGCATGCACATACAGTAACTGTGTCTTGTTGTTTGGGTCTGGTGCGTGGGTTAAAGCTCCAGTGCCCATATAATATGATTGCAGTGCAGCTCACCATGCCTCAGAGGTGTGTCGCATTGTTATTGAGGCCAGAGAAAAGCCACTGGAGTTTGTGCCTATCGCAGCTGTAACAGCTGAATATAGCTGCACACACATACTGTACCTTTGACGGAAGACCATGGACTCCTTATACATGACTTTGCACACTGCAGGTCAATGTGTATGTGTTTTTTTGTGGAGACTAAAGTAAGGTAGTTTGTGCGTATATATGTGAGCATTAGGAAAAGCTATATTCCTCATACCTTCAAAAAGTATGGCGTCATCTATATACAGGGCCCAACACCTGGCTGTGCTTATTGTTGGCCAACTAGGGCACCGTGTGAAAACGACCTTTCCACGATGAACAGTACATAAAGGGCTGCAGGAAACAGAGTGACCACAGCAGATCAGAGAGGTTACCCCGCTCTCTGCCAATCCTGGGCACATACATTCATCACCAGCCTTCCCACAGGGCTCTATGTGTTTCACACAATTCACTGGGGTGCATTGTGGGATAGAGGACCATGTGGTGTCTTTGCTATATGGGGTTTTTGCACCTGTGTGTTCCTAAAGGTCCCTAAAGGACTATACCGTACCAGTGGTAATAAAGTGTATGTTGTAGCGCATTAACTATAAAAATGAGTTTCATATAGATATAAAGTGCATTAATATAATTTCTTATGTTCCAGGCAGCCTGGAATGTTCAATATATTTTTTCAATGTCACTCTGTTTATGCAGCTTCAAAGATATACATATCTCATCACGCGACCAGGAAATCATGTTTGCATCTCCTTTTCCATGGACATGTGAACCTGGAGAAGTAATAATAATGATAATAATAATACTCTTTGTATCAAAATAATGTAACAAAGTACTTAAAAAATACAAGTTTCAAATGCAGTTTCATTTTGTGGTGAATCCTTCAAAGAAATAGAAAAAAAAACACATTTAATAGGTTCTTTCCTGACCCCACCCGTCTACAAAACCTCATGGATATCAGTTGAGTTGTGTTTGTGTAATCCTGCTAACTAACAAACAAACAAACTCCTTTGTGGAGGTTATAAATTCACACATGAATGTGGTCTGTTCCAACATTCTCAGCTTCCTTCTCATCATATTAGATGATGAGTCCCTTCATGCATTACTGTTGATGTGCGATGTGACTGTGAACACAGGTGGTTACTGGTGGATTGGCTTGGAATGTTTTAATAACACAGGTACCAGTGATCCATTCAGAATGACATGTTCATGGATCACTGTGTGCATCAAGTCACTCGGATATAAGCAAGAAGAAGAGCAAGTCGTGTATTTCACTAGGTTTTCAGCCATAAGGACATTCTGATGTCTTGTTAATATCACTGTAGCTATACTTGTATTTTCACAAATATGTTTCTTTGCCCGGGACGCTCTGTTCTACTCTCTGCAAATACCTCATTACTGCACAAACGCGTGTCCTTGTAATCAAATAGCATTTGGATTCAGGGCAGGAATGGGGGACTCTGCCACTGACAATTTAATAGTTTTTAAACGTAATGAAATAAATTGAAAGTGCTGTGTGTATGCCCGAAGGTTTTAAAGGCGCTTGGTAAATAATCAGAGGTAATGAAAAGTATGCACCACTTGTAATTATTCAGGTAAAATACACCAAAAAGCCTGGTAACACTTCACTTTTATAAAAAACTCAGCTGTAAATGTGTCTTTTTCCTGCTGTGTGTGTGTTGCAGCTGCTGTCAGACAGCCAGATCAACATGGTGAAGGTGGTGAACTCGGTGAGCGACGCTCTTAATGCCATGCAGAAGGAGAACGTGGGCCTGAAGGCACGCGTCAAGGCCGACCTACAGAGGGCACCAGTCCGAGGGGCCCGTTTGAAGGGCTGCTCCAATGGTAAGAGAAATGATGTGTGGTGCGATTTTTATATACAGTATATATACGATTCCTCCTTTGTAGATTTGTCTGTCTGCTATTCAATTTGTCCCCCTGCTTCTGTTTATATAATTCATACACCACTGGCTACCCTCGTATACATTTGACCTTCTGCCACTGTGCTCTGTTCCATGTCGAGATCCCTCCCTCAGTCAGCCAGACTCTGTAAAATTATATTCCAGTGTGGTCTGTCCGTCATCCATCTTACCACATATTCATCCAACCCAACCCCTCCTGGTGATATCAGTATGCTTCCTTGGGCCCCTTCTCATCCACATTATCCAGTGGCCTTGGTAGAGATGTGGATTTCTTTACTGTACACGAGGAATGACTTGTATGTCCACTGGGCTGTGTTGCTGTGAGACAGAGAAAGGCCTGAGGCAGCATCCCATTGGAAGGCTTTTAACCAGGCACGATATACCCAGTAGCATTCCCCTGTTGGATTTGCCTCACATCGGTAGCCACAGAGCGAAGGCCGATCATGTACAGCATACGGCATGGGATAATAAAGCGACAGAGATTCCGTGCACGTTATTTCTTCGTTCCCTAGTGAGACTCCAGAATGTAGGTTTCACACATCTGCAAACATGAGGGCACGGTCATGTACTTAGATTGTGACACAAGAGCTGAAGTATATTTTCAAACTTTCTGATTCACTCTCGCCGGAGAACCTGCAGTTCTTCACACGACGTGTACGCTGTTTTATTAATAGCCTACTTTACAAACAGTTTAGGCATGTGGCCTCATCAGCCTAATTGATGCAATTGGGTAATTATCTGGGACACCTGCTACCTATCAGCTGTTGTTTTCTCAAACCTCTGCCGTCTCCTGACAATGGCTGAAAGTTATACTGAATCATCTGTCTTTTTATCAAGAAACTCTCCTGCTCTTCTTCAGTTCTAAAAAGCAGAAGTTCTGATGCAGATCACCTAGGTGATGACAGGATGTATGTCATACGTCTAACTTGAAATGTGAAACCAAAACAACCCGGATCCAGCGTAAACATGAGCTTTGGTTCGGCCCATGGTTGTGGATACCAATAATTTACATAGTGCTGCTGCTGCTGCAGAGTAAAAAATATGAATCTCCAATTATGGCGAATTTGATTTCTTCAGATAAAATGTTTGATTTAAGTGTTCCCTTATGGGTTGAAATAAATCTCTTAATCGTTTAGTTTAATGAAACATTAAAAACCCATTGGATTATGTGAAAAGCTTCAAACAGGGCTGTTTTTCTTCACACGGAAATGTTTGGTATTTTGGAGATCTGTGGTGGACACGCTGGCTGAAGCTCTGTCCATGGTGCTGAACATTAGCACTGATGGTTAAAGCTTCTGTTCCAGATTTATGCCTCACGCCACCTTCCAGAACGTTCCAGCCTTCGCACAGTTACATTAAAACACAGCCGAATTTGTGGTGACGGTAAATAATAAATAATAAATCAATCAACAGAGAATTGCAGAATGGTTATCTCACAATAGGTATCATCGCCCGATTGGGCAATAATGTCTTCAAGTTTTAATTTGCTGTCTCCTGGCTCTGCGCTAATTATAACGATGACAGAGACAGAAACACAATTGGTCCCCATTGTTGATGAAACCATTACTCAATTTATGATCTGTGTAGTGTGTGCCCAGTGTATGGGGAGAGCACAATTACCAGAACACCTTGCAATGCGATGCAATGAGATGTGAAGTCACAATACTGCTCTTAACAATGAGAGAATGAGAATGAACATTGTAATATTTATGTTTAATGCCTCATGTTATACAGTGTTTTAAATTGTGCATGTAAGAATGTTGCATGCAATGCACACACAGTAAGTTACACACAATTGAAATTGATCTGGCTCTCCCTCAGATCACACACACAAACAACACATGCATTACAGAGGGGAATGTAAGTGGAAATGTTTGGTGAAGTGTACATAATAAGCAGTAATGATAAATGAACTCTACGTATTCTCAATTCATATTTTACATGGACTAGTCAGCATCCAGTGGAAGGATGTGAGGAGGGTTACATCAGCTCTGTTGTGGCTGGAGGAGAATCTCTCATGGATTTTTGCTGGTGGATACAGAGTTCACTTACGTCAAATGTGTGAGTGAGTGTTACAGCTCATTTCTGATATTTTCCTTATACGAGCATCTCCTCCATTTGCAGCTGAGAAATAGAATTATGTGTAAGAAGGTTTTACTATTAAACTTTACAACAAAAATTTCTATACAAATTAGATAAGTGAGAAAACCTATATAGTATTTTTGTACCGCAGCAGGGGAGGCAAAGTACGTAATTACTCGGGGCCTCAAGCTGAGAGGGGGGCCACAAGAACAACTGATTGTGTTTGTCTACACTGGTAAAACTCAAAGAGATATTGCACACTTAAATGTGTGTTTTGTGCTGTAAACTAAATTATGTGACTTTTTTAAAAATGAAATACATTAATTATGGTTTTAATATCACATTTATTACCACGTTTATTTAAAAAACGTACATTTAGGAATTGAACATGGTTCATGAAGCTACCCAGTGTTTCAAAATGTCTAGGAGCTTGTAGGGCCAATGCTTTCATAGTGTGAACTGTTTGGGACGTCTTTATGTTATCAAACCATTCAGAGACGTCTCCTGCCCCTCGGCTGTCTCACACTCACTCACACACACTCGCACACACACACTCACACACGCACACACACACACACACACACACACACTGTGTGAACCACTGGCTGAGACAGCCACCTGTCCCAGCGGTTCAAATGGCTCAGAACCACTGCTCTCCTCAGACACGATTTAACCCAGTTTGTTTCTGCACCAGCTGCTCAACAGCTCAGGACAACCATTTTCTTTGTCATCAGGAAACTCGGGGAGGGTAACAGCCCCTCCCAGCATCGTGTTCTCATGGCACTTTTTGAAGGGGAGGGGCACTTCTGACAAAACTTCTGGGTGAAGTTTCACTTAAAAGTTCTGTGATCGGCTACAAGAAACTTGCAAAGACACCATGGCCTGAGACCCCCCCTCACAAAGCCCCCATACCACTACCCTTCTGCTAAAAGCTTTGTAATGTTAGCGTTTGGTTGAAGACTAGAACATCTAAATGGATCATATACTTTGGATGATGTTGGGGTTTACACTTGAGCTTTACTACCTTGGTTTGCACTGGTACAGTGTGTGATATCTAGTGTTAAAACTGCATGTTGCTGCCTCACCTCAACCTCTCCTTCCAAACATGAAAAATAACCTGTAGAAGCATTCAGTTGTCATAAAAACTCAAAAGGTGTTTAGTTTGTCCAGTCTGGACTAATGTAAAAAAACATGGCGGCCTCTGTAGAGAGAGTCCCCTCGACCTAAATATAAAGTATGTGAATATAAAGGGCCTTTTGTGGGGTAAAGAAAACTACAATTGATACAATTTAGATGAAATGAACTCGTGAAAACATCATGAGGATTATTCTACATTTAATCTCTGACAATAGTTCCCTTTCACCTAAATCTTACACACTGGACCTTTAAGACCCTTAATGCCCCTGATTATGGTCATACGCAGACCTTTGACCTTTTCCTTCCCATTGCACAAGGAACATTCACTATTCTGTGTTATTGGTGCATATTTATTTATGCTTTCCATGGCGCTGAATCTGTCAAGCATTCAAGGCCTTTGACTGTTATCTTTAAAACAGCAGTAATTTCACCCACTCTTATTCTTAAAGCTGCGATATGTCACCTCACTCGTCATAATGGAGGCTCAATACAGACAAAGAAGTTTCAATAACAGCCCTATTTTATGCAGAAATACTTATTAATTATTTGCAGTGGCAGTCTTTTCCTTATTTCTTTTTCCCTTTTATAAAGAGCCAGGAGATAATGAGTTTTAACTAGAATAATTTTCTTCAGTAAATTACTTCCTTATTAGGCTTTAATACTTTGCAATGGCAATGGCGCTATAAGTCACTGTTATTTGATTTATAATTTATTATTGCTACTTGAAATTCAGGTACGCCTCGTGGATTCACAATTTTCCCAGTGTGCATCACGCTGACCTATTTAAAGCACAGATATCCTTGAGCCATGTAAATGTCAGGAGTGAAGCTGTACAACATTCAGACAAATTGACCAACCAGCTCTGAGGTTCAGCACCATGGACAGAGCTTCAAATGTTTTGTGCCTAAGGTTGGAAGCATCTTTATACTGTTATACACGCTCGCTATGATATAATAAAGTAATACATCGAAATGTTGTATGGTGTAGAAAAATACCAAAAAGCAGTGTGTTCATCTACATGTAATGTACATGCAATTTACATCAAGTCCACCAACTCCTACTCGAATAGTTGGTATTGGCTCACAGCACCCAGAGGCAGTTGGGGTTTTTGTAAAGTGCAACCTTGACATTTTATCAAAGACATTTTACACTGAAGTAGAAAAAGAAAAAACATCAGCACTAATCACACATGATATAAAACATATTATACACATGTGCAGTTTTATTTGGCATGCAACATATTCTCGTGTTGACCTAGGGCAGTTGTGGCTCAGGCTGCAGGAGGTAGAGCGGGTCGTCCACTGACCAGAGGGCCGGGGGTTGGGGCCTAGTCTCATTTCAATTTCCCTTGCCAAAGTGTCCTTGGGCAAGGTACTGAGCCCTGAATTGTCCCTGCCAGCAGTGTATAAGTGATGTGTGATAGAGAAAGTGCTGCACTTAGATGAATTGTAAGAGGCTGTGTGAATTGCAAAACTTTCATCTAAAGAGCTCTGAGTGGTCATCAAGCGAAGCACTATAAAAAACAGACCATTTACCATTTTACAGGCTGTCTCATAAACTAAGTGTTCATACTGAGGTGCAAATAAATGATCAGAATAAAAAATGAATAAATACTCTATACGTGCATACTTACCAGCACATTTTTAGATTTAATGCTCATGCGTGTGTGCAAATCCTACTTTTCCATTGTCTCCGCAAGGATTTACAAGTTAAAGTTTAAAGCATTTGTCAGCTATAAGCACATGCATATTGCTTTGACATTTACTACTTTTTTATTATCATTTTTGCTGTTTTATAAATAATTCATAATTATGAGTAATGCATTTTAAAACAAAAGTAAGAAAGTCAAGTCGTAAATAAAGGTAAGATGCAGGACGTATTCGTGGTTGGAAACAACTGTAATGCCTTGTGACTAAAGGAGAAGTGCAAGCTGAAGGTAGGAGGGCAGGCTGCATTTAAATGAGTTCAGTTCCTACTGTGCAGTGCCTGCGATGTCAGAGTGACTTGTTTCGGAGGGTTTATGTAACTGAAGATTTTGTCCCCACACAGACGGGTTACAGAACAGTCTCTCTCTCCTCAGAGGTCCCATCCCACTGCTAACAGCTATAATCTGTGTATTCAGAGCCTGTTAGCTTATTGCTCCGTGCCAATGACCACGACATTTTATATCAACACACACTAAGAACTCACATTAGGTGATGTTTCCTTTGTAAACATTGGCTTTGTCTTTTGTGTCAGTTCCACATCCCGCTGCTATAAAATGTATAGTGTGCAGCAGCAGAAACTAGTCCCCGATTTTAGTTCCTTCTGTTAGAAACTACAGTGGTGACCTGATTTAGGAAAACCCTTTTAATAAAATCAATTTCAGCAGGAACCAGAAAAGTTCACAGTGTCAGAACATATTGAGAAACAGAGCGATCGTATACGTTGATACTTTCATGGGAATTGTTGGCAGTGAGAAAAATATAGAATATCACCAGACTTGTCCTTTAAGTGTTTATAGACCATCAAAGGGCAGTTACTTTGGAGCTGGGATCTATGAGATCTATGGACACAGCCCGGGGGACTATTTAATAATAGAAATGCACTTTGTCAAAAAGGAGTAAAGTTCTACAGGTGGGAATGTAAAGGCTCGGTAGGAAAGGAACTCAACCAGAGGACTCAGGCAGATAAGATCAGATTTTTAGCAGGAGGAACCCCTTGAGAAGAACCATCTTGTTTTCATCCTCACAGAAATAAATGAATCACATCAAACAAACATGATGAATCTCAGGAATTCACTCAACCCCACCAGTTCTCTACTAATGATTAGTAACACACAGTCAATACAAAGTCAATGTATACAAAAAGTATATACATGAAAGGCTTTAAACATTCATTGCCATGAATGTACATCTTCTAGTGAGGAGCAAATATGTTCCAATATCTTAAAGGTAGGGTTTGTAAGTTGTTTCTTAAATACTTGTTGGTGTTATTCGTTGTAATCTTCTTCACGTCCTGAAAGCCATTGATAGATTTTAATAAAGCCGGTGTCTGTGAAGATTCTTAAAGAGCAAGAAAGGGTTGCTTGAAAATAAATAAAAAGAGATAACCAACACTAATGAAAAAAGGCAGTAGATCATAGAGCATGACCAATTAAAAACAACCCAAGAAGTGAAAAAAGACCACCTAACCTCTTTTAGTGAGCTTAACAAGGCCTGGTACAAAAAGCAGCAAACATACATGTCTCATCTTGCAACAATGAATGATGCATGTGGTTCAGGTGTTACTGTCTGAGTGATGTATCCAGACGGAGATCACATGTTGATACTTGGTGTAAATTGAGGAAAAAAAAAAGATAATTGCCCACGCAGGTGGAAACAGGCAACAGGTCGAGGGGACTAATACGGCAACATGTGCACCTGACAGCCTGGCAGGAAACTGAGGGAAAGTGGTCGTGTGGTGAATGCCGGAGAGCTGATTGGGCGATTGGAAGCTGGTGCACAGGTGTGTGCGGGAATTAAGCGATGGCTGAAGGCGTGGAAACACTAGGCCACTCGGATAAGCAATAACTACCGCAGGGCGGGTGTGAACAGCCGGCGCTGAAATGACAGGAAGCATTAGTGACGGGCAAAATGACAACAAGAATAATGCGAGTAATGTGGAGAACGGGTAGTAGCCGTGACGGGAAACTACTTCAGACACATCACGTCAATTAGAGCGCGAGGGTTACATGTTGTGCTCAGGGAAAATGACAAGCAATGTGGAGGAATTACCAAACAATGGAACAGAACAGAATACTTAATCTGTGTGAAGTCGTGAAGTAAGTCAAGCAAGCGGACGTGTAGTAACAGCACGATCGATACGAGGGTCCACGGAAGAGGAATTTCTGTCTCACAAAGGATCATTAAACAAAACAAAAAAAACCTAACTTTGAAAGCCTTTGTTATAGAGTCGCAAATTCTTAATAATAATGATGATAGTGTCTTTTTTAATGTCCCATGGAACCAAGACAGCTTCAGCTTCCTGTAATGAAAGAGAGCGACTGTGAAATTCTACCATTTACGTGTGATGATGATGAAAGTTGGAGCTTATTAGGCGAACAGAGAGACGGAAAAGCTTCAGGGAGACCAAACATCCCATATCATGTAGGGTTTGTAAGAAAAAAAAATTTCTCTTGGCTGTTTTAAATTCAGAAGTTTGACCCGGTGAAGGCTGGCATGCATAATCTATAACACTGTACTCATCACTGAATTCCTCTCCTTCATCTTGGGGAATAGATTTTTTTGTATCCCTGGTGTAAGACGGGTTTCTGAGTCACAGACGAGGGTGCTGCTGTTCTGCTCGGCTGTAGCTTACAAGCCTCCTGTCTCTGTCACTTTGTCTACGCACAGACTCTTCATGGATTCTCTTTTTATATCCTGCACACTCTCTGTTCATGTCGTATCACTCACATGTACACATCTCCTCGCTGTGAGCCGTACTTCTGCCTCCCTCACTTTTGTTGTCCGCTTTCAAACCTGTGTCTCTGTGCTATAGTTGTGCTTCCTTTCCACAGCATCCCGTCTTTATTTAACAACTGGCCCTCCATCTTTATCCTCCGCCACATCAGTCTCAGCATCCATCTTTTTTTTGGTGTCTCCCTCTCAACACAGAAAGTTTTCTCTCCTCATTTCCCCCCCCCCGTAGCTTTATTCAACAGTTGGGCCTCTCAGTTTGAGGGCAGGACTTACTCTATTTATTTCACATTTTGTCAAGCTCTCACTCAAAACCTGCTTGCTCTCATATCTACCCTGCTTGTGCTTGGATTTGCTCACTCCAGCTTCAGCTCTTCTCCTTTTTTTTTGTGTAACAACTCTGTCAAAATTCCCCGATCAAAAGAATGCCATGCATAGTGATTACAAGATAAATTGTCCCGCCCTTGTTGTAGATGCGTTAGCTTTATGTCTTTAAGAGGACCGTTTATTATCATTTATTACACGTCTTCCCGTCGCTGTGCTAAAAGAAAAAAAAAACACCTTCATTGAGCAGGATTCCAGCAGATCCCTGGTAAACATGGAGCAGCAAAATCAAGGATCTCTAGTTTTTAAAACTAAATCAAAGCTTCCTTGTTTCTTTCTCTCTCCGCCAACAGCAAAAGTAACCAAAGCAAGTGCAATTTAATTTGTCACCACTACACCTGTATTGGTTGGAGAACTCTGACGGACTTGTTGGACAAAAAAATCCAAGAGCAGAAGAAAAATATCAGAGAGCCGACATTTAACACACGCACAGAAGCTTGGTGAGAGTGAGGATAGAGCAGAAACTGGGATGCAGGAAATCTGTCCAATCGAAGTACAAGAGTGGGGTTTTGAGTGGGAGCATTAATAAATATGAATGTAACATAAATGAGTCCTGCTCTCAAACTAAAAGACCTACCCCTTGAAAAGAAAACAAACTCATGGTGCTTTTTGAGATCCGTCATTTTTGGAAAAACTGTCCAACCAGCAAAGAACGCTGACATTGTGGTGTGTCATTCCGACGAGACGACTTCACGCCTCATGTTCACCGTGCCCTCTGCAGACAGAAGACAGGGTGTGACTAGTGTTTTCTCATGTTTTTCCTCATCTCCTCTCTTTGTTCTCACAGCCCCGATCGCTCGTTGCCTTCGCGAGCCTCGTTTAATTTCATGCCTCCTCTATTTTCACCTCTCCCTAGGCTCGCGCCCACGTGACTGCGGCGATCTGTACGCTAGTGGTCAGAGGGAGGATGGCATCTACTCCGTGTTTCCTGTTCACCACCCTGCAGGCTTCCAGGTCTACTGTGACATGACCACAGATGGAGGAGGCTGGACAGTGAGTCAAAACACTTGTATTAACAGTGACAGTGAAAAAGCTCTTAAGTTATTACAAACTAAAATAAGAACATTCTCAACAGTTGCTGCATTTTTCACCAGGGTTATAATCAACCAGAGAATGACAACAGGGAAATGGAAGGTCTTTTCACTATGTCTGCACTCACAAACTTGCTTTTATTTAAGAAACAAAAACAACATAATAATGATTTAACATTGCTTCCATTCAAGTGAAAGTCAATAAATGAGCTTCTCCACATGTTTTTATTCCCAAGGACCCTCAGTGATTACTGTTCTACTCCCTTAAGAGTTCCACGTATCAATCTGGAAAGGTCTCATTAAAGTTTTATCAAAGACGAGCGAGGAGAGCATGTTTCAAAGAGCCCAGTCTTTGATTTTTTTTTGGCTTTATTTAGAAATCAGGGATATTAATTAGACAGACTTGAAGTAAAGTGCAGAAAGGAAATGAGTAAAGCAGTAAGTGAAACAATACAACGACATTTAGAGGCACCACAAAACTGAAATATATTGTATGGAAAATGTGACAAAAGGTTATTGGAGTCATAATGGCGGAGGTTGAGAATCAAAAGCTGTTGTAAGATCTTATTGGACAACTGATCCTATATTATAACTAAATTAAATCTGCAAGCAGCATTGAACGAGCACTCACGCCTTGTGCATGTCAAGCAGGACGCTGGTCCTAGACTACCCAGAGGCCAACTTCCTGATGGGTTACATCCGTGGTCCCAAAAGGCTTTTTTGTATATCTGGACATGCAACAGGTCCGTACCCAGTTTCACAAATATATGTGACACATGCCAAGTGTGCTGCTTCGTTTGCCTGAGTGACGCTATTATTGACACGTCCATGATCTAGAACCATAAAAGTTTCCCGCCACACACGTGTTGACCCTCAAAATTTTAAATCGAAGAGGCAGAAGAAAATGATGGTTATGATTATAAAAAAGAATTCCTTCAGTCTCAAAAGCACCAATAGAGATCGAGGTGGGTCCTCTGGTCCTCATTTTATATAGATGATATATTTTCTAATGCTGAGATATAATACCTAATAAAAAGATGGGCTATAAAGACACAGACAAACTGCAAAGCTGTCTCATGAAAATACAGCTTCTTTTATTTTTTACTCGTGAAATGTGTCACTGTGCCTCAAGCTCACAGGAAGAAACTGTTGTCATTATAGTTTACAGAAGTTTGACCTGGTTATGTTTTGGTTTTGTAGGCCTCAAGTTCTCGTCTTTGTGTAATAATGTTTTGAGAGGATTTTGTTTTCCTAAAACAGAAACATAGAGGGAACATGGATACAAATATTAGCATCTCTTAATGTGTGTGTGTGTGTGTGTGTGTGTATTTTTCTCCTTAATCAAACATATGTGACTTGTCTGGCCTCACTAAGGCAAACACAGTTGTCTGAGGGAGACTGTATAGTGGGAAGTGTTGTGTCTTTTGGGAATGAGAGACAGCGAGGTGAACAAACATTGACACAGAGCTGTTTGAAGTTATATTTGGAAGTGTGTGGTTTAGATGTATTTAACACAGACACACACACACACACACACACACACCATCTTACTAGTTTTAGCCATTTATTTCCCTTTGTTCTGAAGTGTACCGTCGCAGCCCTCAGGGAAAGCAGAGCAGTTCTAAACAGAGAACTAAGGCCTTGTAACACTTAAGAGATTCAGATTCCAGCTACATGAATCCATCACAGCTCTTTTTTTCTTTTTACAGGTTGTGACACATCTTAGCGAAGCATCCAAGGGCTCATTTTTGGATCTGTCCTAATTTATTCAAGGATGGATATGCAGAATTTTACACAATGAACTCCTATGTAAATGATAAGCTTCTTCGTGTCGTGCAATGTGGTTCAGGCTGCATAAAAAGTGTTACACCTGCTTTACCAGAAAAGATAAATCGACTTACTTTAGTTACTGGATTTAGTGTGGTATCCTCTTTCTGGTGGTGGGTGGGATGTTGTTTTCTTCACCAAGATTTGATGGATATTTTAAAACTTCCTCACATGATGAGTTTTCCTCGCTTGCTTATTAGAGGTGTGAATGTGATCATTTTTAAAACCTGCTTTTATATTTTCTTGTAATATGCGGCTGCCGCACATGTTCAAATGTATTTGTGTAATTTTTGCTGTGCTGAAGTAGATTTTCTGACGGAGTAGCAGGGCCATGTTGACGTTTTAAGCTATGTGTCATGTGATTAGGGGGATATCACCAGATCTGCTTGTTGCCTGCCCTGTTCTCGCAATATTCTGACCTTATGCTGGTAAAATAATAACTTTTCTCTCAAAATATCTTGTAAAATCAATTTTTTTCTCATATTATCAGAAGAAGAACTTGTAAAATAATGAGTTTCCTCTCAATTAGGTCTTTATGCTTTTAATATGTTAATTTTCTTATCAATTACAACTTCATTATTTTAATATTATGAGTTTCTTCTCAATTAAGACATTATAATCATAATATTAGAACTCTATTCTCGAAACCGGATTGTCTTTTTCCTCAACATGGCCCTTCCACTCTGTTTTAAGTTCTACCATTAATGCTTATGATAATAACATACATTGTGGTATAATGATAGTAATGAAAACCAAAAAGAAAAGCTCTAAAAGCAACTTGAGGGATATATCCTCGAGTGGTTTGACGCTCCCATTTTTCATTCACTTCCATCACAAACACATACGGTGCGTATCAAACCTCAGCCTAAGTCGCCGTTACATTGGCATGACAGTGATTTGTGCGCGTATGTGTGTGCACTTGTAAATCCGTGACTAACTGCGCGAGATAGGCAAGGTCGTACCCTCCTATCACCAAATAAAGCAGGACTGTCACAGTGACAGAGTGCTTACAACAGCATGATGGAAGAGGGTTACATACCAGCCTGTCAGTGGGTAAATGTGTGTGTGTGTGTGTGTGTCTGTGTATGCATGAATTAATGTCTCTGCCAGAGTGTGTGCACACACACGCAGTTTGCGAGTCATATCAGTTTCCACCTCTTTTCATACAATGCGCCGTGTTAAGTAAGCGCTCTCTGCATATTGTTCTGCAACAGGATTTACATAGTAGCCCAGATTGAAGTGATAAAGCAGTAGTTACTGATCCTGCCAGGTGCGTTGAGCTGATTGTGATAACGCTTGAGCCTCATTAAGAGATCAGCGTGGTGCGATCCAGCGGGGGCAGGTAGGGAGACAGGATGCTCGGTGAGTTGAGTGGCTTACTGTCTGTGTGATGGCTGAGCTTAAATAAGGAATGAGCCATATGCTGCTACCTCATTAGCATACTTCAACACGGCACAGGTTTGTTGCGGCAGACTGCTGCAGACAGACTGAGAGATGAGGAGGTTACTTAGACAGAGAGGAAGAAGGAGGAGGGAACAGAGGAGAGAGCAGGAGACAAAGAAAAGATCTGAGGTGGAGGGAGAAAGTGAGACATAATAGGGAACAGCAAGTTCATTTTTCCATTCTCTGCGACGCCTTATTTCACATATAGCCTGCAATAAAATCTGAGTTTCCTTCAGTATTTGCAGTGAAGAAAATAGCCCATAGGGAGCCTGGGGGGAAAATGCAACTGCCATAAACCATAGTGACAAGAAGTGACTGGATTGAGATGTCAATCAGCAGAACTGTAGCATCAGTCAGTGATGACCTTTAGGAGACGTCTGTTCACGTCTCCTGTGAATTTGGAAACAGCACATGATGAGATGTGGACATTCTGTATGATCAGCCCAGCAAGGGTTTGTTAGGTTGTGTCCATGCTTTACTGTATAAAAGTAGCTGTTTTACATAAGTTCTCTACATGATGCACAAATCCAACCAACCCAACACAACCACCCACAAACACCACTGTTTCTCACTTTATGAATAAGAAATGTGGCTCTTAAAGTCATGTCATCTCTGCATAAAATTGTGCAATATCTACCAGGTAATTCTACAAATGTCCGTCTCGTAAATCGTTGATATAATCTGCTTCAGAATTGACATGTGTATTGATAAATTGCCTGATAAAGTGCAGTGCCAAGTTTTTTGCGATTTGTGTGATTCGTTCAATACTCATAAAAATGAAATAAAGCTGTCAGTGGGGGTGGGGCAGCATGCAACCAGTCAGCAGGGACCAAGTTATCCTCTTCTATGTCCTTGGATAAAATACAGCAGTGGTCTACAAGTGGATCACAATGCAGGTAAAGATCATTGGTAACCAGGTAGGATGAAAACAGCTTCTTATTCACTCTGCCCCATAGACTGTTTAAAAAAAGCTCTGCACAAACAATACAAAGTGACAGTATATCGTAGAACTGTTTGAGAAGGACCCACTTATGACAAGGACATTACATTAGATTTTATTTATTTGATGCTTTTAGCCAAAGCAACTGACAAAAAATGCATTCAGCCATGAGGGTAAAAACCCAGAACAACAAGAATCAAGTACCTACAAAGTAAGTGCATTTCAATGGGGAGCTCATTCTGCCACTAAGAAGCCAGGACAGCAAACAGTCGTGATTTTTTCTGAGTGGTTAGCTCGCAGTGAGGGAACAACAAGCCAATTGGCAGATGTAGAGCAGAGTGGACGGGCTTGGGTGTAAGGTTTAACCATATCCTGGATGAAGACTGGCTGACCGATCCGTTCATAGCACGGTACGCGAGTACTAGTGTTTTGAAATAGATGTGGGCAGCCACTAGTAACCAGTCAAGGGAGCAAAGGAGCAGAGTAGTGTGACTAAACTTAGGTTGGTTAAAGACCAGTCGAGCTGCTGCATTCTGGATGAGCTGTAGAGGTCGGAAAGCACTAGCAGGTAGAACAGCCAGGGGGGAGAAATAATTCTGAAGTAGCTCCAGAGCAATAACACAGGACCATAAAACAGGCAGGTACTGCATCAGATGCCCAGGCAGAAGATTTTGCCAATCTTCCATACTGTAAATTACTCAATGCCATTGTTCTACATAAATCACAATGCTGCCTTATCAATCGTTTTTGCT